GAGGGGCTGGGAGGGGGCTGAGGTGAGGATGAGGAGGGGCAACACCACCATCCCCACCGTGTTTCTCCTCCGCCAGCTTCTTCACGGCCGGGGGGACGGGCTTCGAGGCGTTCTTCACCGCCGGCGGCGTGCTGGTGGTGGCCGTCTGCACCAAGAAGGACTACATGACCGTGGCTTTGCCGGAGTTTGCCTTCAACGACTCGGCTTGGGTGAGCATCGTCCCCATCCCTGTCACCAGCAGGGGAGCAGCGAGGCCACCGGGACGCCCTGACCCCCCTCCCTGTTGCCCCCAGCACTGCGTGGACATCGTGCACGTCGCCGGGCGCCGGCCCTTCGGCCAGAACATCGTCAGCGTCTACGCCGACGGGCACCTGCGGAAGACGGCGCAGCTCCGCTTCCCCTCCCTCCACGAGGTGAAGGACCTCCCCCCCCCCGACCCAGCCAGACCCCTCCCCGTGGATGATGGGGGCCTGAGCGAGACCCTTCTCCCTTCCAGTCCTTCACCTCCTGCTGCATCGGCTCCGCGGGTCACCGGACCACCACCACGGCTGCCACCGCCACCGGGCACCCGCCGGCGTCCCACGGCCCGGAGCTGGTCTTCCCCTCACACCCCGTGCTGGGACGGTCCCAGTCTGTCCCCGCCACCCTCGGCCCCCACTCTTGGACCCCCACTCAGCTGCCCACGGAGGGGGTGGTGGCCACCACGGCGGCCGGGAGCCAGGACATGGAGTGGGGCAGCCCCACCTCCCTGGAGGGTCACCTGGGCTCCGTGGCCATCTTCTGTGAGGCTCTGCAGCAGGCCCAGGTCAAGGCTCTGTTCTGTGCAGGTACATCGGGGTGGGACACGGGGGGATGTCCACAGAGGTGCTGGTGGCAGCCAGGGTCTCCTCCAGCGTGTCCCAGCTCACCCCAGTCCTCCTCCCCCAGGCCCAAATGTCATGTCACCATTTACGCTGGAAGGGGACCTGGTGGAGCTGAGCAGCAAACTCCTGCTGTACTACACCCCCCAGGTGAGGAGAGACACCCCCCCGGGACAGGGATGGTGCTGCAAGCCCCTGTGCCCTGAGGGACATCTCCAGGAGCACAGGGATGCTCCCATGGTGCTCTCCTCTAGGCCTGCAGGAACAACATCTGCCTGGACCTCTCTCCCAGCCATGGCCTGGACGGGAGGCTGACGGGGCACAAGGTGGTCAACTGGGACGTCAAGGTACGGTGGGCACAGGGTGGCACGTCCACCCCACGGCGTGGAGACGGGTGGGTCCCAGGGCAGGACACCCACAGGGTGTTGGTTGGACCCTGCAGAGACTCTGCATGTGGTGTTGGGTCCACCAAGGACCTGCGTGACCCGTGGGTCCCCTGAGGACCTGTCTGCCCCACCCAGGGTGGGCACCGTGGGTGGTGTGGAGGAACAGGTGACTTTTGGGGACTCCAGGTGGCTGTGCAACCTCCTTCTCCAGCACCCAGCGAGGCCTCTCCCCTCCCTCCCTCTCTCAGGACGTGGTCAACTGCGTGGGTGGGATGGGTGTGCTCCTGCCCCTGCTCGAGCAAGTGGTGTCCAAGAAGGAGGAGCCCGAGGATGAGGAGGAGACCAACGACCTGGTGGGGCCAGAGCTGACGTCCTCCAGGAACGCCCAGGGCATGCTCATCCCACTGGGAAAGTCCTCAGGTGAGGAGTTCAGGGGTGTGGAGCAGGAGTCGGGTGGTTGGAGGTAACCACGGTGCCGTGGAGTTGTTCCTGGTGTTCACCACGGACAGGAGAGGCCTTGCCTGAGGCACCACGAGGTGTGGTGAAATGGAGAAGGCACTTTTGACATTGTTATGACCCAATTAGTCACGAACAAGCAGTTCTGGGAGGGTGAGGGTGGTTCCAGCCACCTCCAGGTTGCCTGTGGGTGGAGTCTTTGATGTCTCAGAGCAGGGCTGGGTCCATCCAGGAGCCTTTGGCATGGGTGGAACATGCTTCCTCCCGACACCCAGCTGCTCTTTCCCAAGCTCAGAGCAACAGAGGCTTCCACCTCCACAAATGTGAGGAAAACAGGAGAACGGGGTGAAATTGGAGAGCAGAGTTGGTGGTGGGGTCTCCAGGAGGGTGTTGGGGTGGGCCCGGGGCTCACAGCTCCGTGCCTTGCAGAGAACAGGCTGGAGAGGAACAGCGTGGCCGCCTTCCTGCTGCTGGTGAAGAACTTCATCCGGCACCACCCCGTGAACCAGGAGAGCCTGGTGCAGTGCCACGGGCCGGCCATCATCGGGGCGCTGCTGCAGAAGGTGGGGGGCTCCCAAAACTCCGTCCCGCGGTTCCCAAGGGGGTGGCAGGAGTACAAGTGTCCCCTCCCTCCCTCCCTCCCGTGGCAGGTCTCCGGCGCTCTGCTGGACATGAGCACGCTGGTGGCCTCGCAGATCCTCATGGAGCAGGTGGCCTCCGAGGGCAGTGGGCTCCTGCTGCACCTCCTGTACCAGCACCTCCTCTTCGACTTCCGCATCTGGAGCAACAGCGACTTCGCCGTGCGCTTAGGTGGGACTGGGGGGGGCTGGGGGTGGCCCCCCGTCCCCACCCACCCGCCCCCGGGCCCCTCACACCTTCTCCTTGCAGGCCACATCCAGTACCTGGCCAACGTGGTCAAGGACCACAAGCAGCGCATCCGTAAGAAGTACGGGGTGCAGTATGTCCTCGACTCCATCCGGACCTACTACGGGTGAGCCAGGACCAGGGAATGCTGGTGTGGTGGTGGGAATGGTGGGCTTCCCCCCTCGGAGCTCCAGTGTGGGATAGACACCGTTTTCTAGGGGTAACATCCCTCCTTCTGGTGTGGGAACATAGTGGGTGCAGGATCTTCTGCTCCAAGTGGTCCTGTCCCATCCCCAACCCTGTGCCTGGCTCCCAAATCCAACCCCAACCCTGTGCCTGGCTCCCAAATCCGTCCCCAACCCCGTGCCTGGCTCCCAAATCCATCCCCAACCCTGTGCCTGGCTCCCAAATCCATCCCCAACCCCGTGCCTGGCTCCCAAA